AGTTGTCAAGGGGTCACCAGTAGGCCTGCTTATTCCAGTTGTCAAGGGGTCTCCAGTAGGCCTGAGTACTTCAGTGAGCTTGGGTATAATCATTAAAATTATAAGATTTTGACTCTAACGAGGCCGTAAAATAATATTCATTTGAAGAAAACACAAGCAACGAAAGCCTTGCCCCAAAACTGCATGCTTTTATTGTCGCTGTAAAATTCTCAACATTAAAGTAATTTGTTATTAATGAAAACGTGCTTTTATGCTATTTGAAAGAAATAAGGAGTTTGAAGGCACGAAACTTTGAATGTCGCGCCGTGATACAATTTTTCAAACCCAAGTTGGCCTTAAGTTGAAGCCTGTAAATAATGTAAGTAAGACAAAAATGTAAGTAAGACCTTAAGATAAAGCCATAAATCGAAGCCTGTAAATAATTTAGGAAGTACCTGCATGCATCAAAGTGCAAGTGCTCAAAAAGTTCGTGTACAAAAAGTGCGCGTACAAAATGTTTGTACACGAGCTCGAACTCCGTTTTGTGTTCATAAAAAAAGTGAACTGTTAACTGTGACCCGGAGGGGGGGAATTGTACCTGTTGAAATTCAGTTGCCAGGTTTGATTGTTTTCATAACTTAAATGAAGAGCAGTGCAGTAGAGGTGTAGCTCTGTGGGTTAGAACCTCTTATGGGGCCCAGCAAGTCAAGTTATCTGCAGAACATCAATCAGCTAGAGAATCAGTGTGGTGCGAACTTACTCTAAAAGGCAAAGATAGCCTCCTCATAGGGGTCCTTTATAGATCACCTAACAGCTCCTCTGATAACAATAAAGTAATAAGCAACCTTTTACTGAGCATGACTTTCAGCAAGTCGCAAACGCTGATCCTTGGTGACTTTAACCATTCAGAAATAGATTGGGCAGATGAATCCTCTCCAAAAGATGGGAATCACTCAACATCCCTGTTCATGGAGTCTGTGTGAAACTCATTTTTAATGCAGAACATCACCAAGCCAACCCATTTTAGGGGTAAACAGACCCCATATATTCTAGATCTAGTGCTTACTAGTAAAGAATCAATGATAGATGAGCTTCGCCACGAGGTTCCGTTGGGCAAAAGCCACTACCAATCATCTCTTTTCAGTATTAAGTGCTGTGCAGAAAAGACGCGTCGGAAGCGTGAACATTGGAACTTTGCGAAAGGCGACTATGATAAACTCCGTGAAGCGGTGAATGAGGCGAATGTTTCGGACTGTATTAAGGACATGAGTGTGGCTGATTCATGGTCATTTCTCATAGACACGGTTATGTTTGCAGTCGATGCCTGTGTACCTAATTACCCTTGGAGGAGTCAAAATGAGTGGACGAACATTACAGTTAAAGCTCAGCTAAAGACCAAGAAAGAAGCCTACAAGCGTTATTTACGAACTCGCAGCGATTCTGATTATAACCTGTATGCAAGGGCTCGAAATCTAGCTAAAAAAGTCTGTTGCACTACATCAAAAATTTCAAAAAAAAAAAAAAAAACTCAATAGTTCGAAGTGTAAGACAAACGACGGTATATCTGATTTGAAAGTAGACCAACGAAAGATTTCCTCTGATGAGGGCAAGGCTAACGTTCTTAATCAGTTCTTCAGCAGTGTTTTCATAGATGAGGACTTGAACAGTATCCCAGATATTGAGGAGCACCCAGTCGGCTCGAAGTTAAGAGGATTTCAAATTGTCAGGGAACGTCGGTTCGAAATTATATTTAGGGGGTATGCAAATCAAATTCAAGTAGGCAGGTTGCATTTATAAACTACGGTTAACGTTACAGGCTTTAAGTAGACAGGATACGAGGGAATAAAAGGGATAATGGTGCAAAGTGAATATAAATAGGTAAGCGAACTCGTGGGACAAGGTTCAGTCCTTAAGATCTGACCTGCTCAAGATACAAGCCTAAACTAATATCGATGCAATTATATTGATTTGTCTTCACTTAGTTCAATTTTCCAAACATAAATGCAAACATCCATAGTTTTATCCTAAGATATACAAAGACACAAATATTGCCCTACGCTTATAAGCTCACCTGCTCAGTGTGGGAGAATAGGGTCGACAATTTTATTCAGGAGACCAAGCACTGAGCAAAGTGACGGACTTGAAGAAAAAGTCTATTACAGAAATGTGGATGGACCCCTCACACAAATACACGAAGAAGAGGTTCTCAAGCGTCTGGTAGCTCTAAATCCCAACAAGTCGTGTAGACCAGACGTCTTCTATCCCAGATTGCTCAAAGAATTATCAACCGCTCCGGCTTGCAAATTGACAGTATTCTTTCAAAGACCTTGAACGGTGGAACTTTGCCGTCCGACTGGAAAGAAGCTCAAGTAACACCATTGTTCAAAAAATGTAACTCAGTACTCACTGCAGTGAGTGACAGAGAGCGCATTTTCTCGTCGACGAAAACTTGAGGTCACGGACAGACGGACGGACAGACGGACAGACAGACAGACAGACGGACGGACGGACGGACATAGCGAGCACAATAGTGCATTTATTCCATAAATGAGAAAATGGGCTAAAAAGGTGACAAAAGTTGCCCCGGTAGCTATCGCCCTGTCAGTCTGACAAGTTTTGTTTGTAAGCTAATGGAATCTGTTGTGAGGAATAGGATTATCGATCACTCGACTGTTCACCATCTTCTATCAGATTGTCAACATTGTTTTCTTCCTGCACCACAACTTATTGTCTACGTTGAACGATTGGACTCGCCTGCTGGACGAAAGGGAGTCAGTGGATGCATTGTACCTCGATTTTGCCAAAGCATTTGACAGTGTTCCGCATGAGCTGTTGTCGCGTAAAGAGAAGTCTTTGGGAATTGAGGGAAACGTTTGGCGTGAGAGAGGTTTTCATGTTTTCAAATTGTTCAGTAGAAGCGGAAAACCGTGGCGCACTATGTAAAGGCATGTAACGTAGCTTAGATACCGAAAGTAAGCGTTAGCTCACTTCAAAGTGAGTCAGCAGTGCAGAGGACAACTTTATCAACACCTCTCCGCATGATATCTGTCGGGTAACTGAGCTGTAGGTCCAGCAACAGCACATTTATAGAGCTTAGCCGCAATTATCTCCATAGGATTTTGTGAAGGGACACCACCACCCTCCCCCCTTTCGGGATCTGTCGTGAACGCATAAATCATCGTAAAGAGATGGTTCTAGTACCGTTCGATGCGGCAGAAAGTTAGCTTTATTAAATTTTGATGTGTGCGGTTTGATGTGTGCGAGAGGATGAGATGCACTGTCACTGTGTGTTTTCACATAGCATGTATAAAAAAAGTCTTGTGTAAACATATGACGAATATTCAATCGACGTGACATGTGCACATGACGTCGACGCTGTGTTTCTTATGCGATAAATCTCATGAACATCCGTTGGCCTTGCTTTGTAGTCATGTTAGACACTCAAATTTGGCATCTTTGAGAAAAAAATCTGTCTGATACGTTCAATTCTGCTTTTCTTATTCACGTTAATATATATTTAATTATGTTAATATTAGTGCTCATTTACTTAGCGCTACATGAAGAGTCAGGATACGTGACTAAGGTCGTGATGAATAAGTGAGACACAGCTGTCTAGATAACATATCTTGATATACGGGGCGGTTATACATGAGAGTTACGATACAGAGGTATAAGTTACGCGGTGTCGACCGTAAGGTCGGAGAACTCAACCGACGCGTTACGTCGAGGAGCGCTTATCAACTACTGCGGGGGCTCTTACTAAGGTTACCAGCCCTTTTATAGCCTTCGGCTTCCGCCCACAACTAAGATCTTGATCGCTTGTTCTGTCACGTGATGTCTTCCAGATGCTGCCTCTTGGCTAATACTTTTCCATCAATCTCTATGAGGTCAAGTGAATATTACGTCTCAATTACATGTGATCTAATCATTTAATATAATTATAATGATTACAATGAGACGCCACATTGACGCCGGACACAACCAACACAATACTTCGAAGTATGTGCTTGAAATGGCTTGCTGGAAATTCTCGCTACATAACGTTTTGCAAAAATTTTCTGATTGCGTCATTTTCATATGATTACGAGATCCGTGAACAAATCGGTGAGGATTTATTGTTTCTATGTTCCTGGAGAGATGGTTTTCTTGAGCAGCCGCTCACAGCTGGAAGAGAGAGGGTGAAGAGCTGTCTGACCAGTTGATCTGCGTTCCAGGCTGATTGCCAGAAATGGAACCGTGTCACGAAGAAACTACGTAGCTGCCGCTTAAAATCCACAGTAATCTGTTTCCTAATGGTGGAGATTTAACAGCATACCTAAGTTTTAAGGTTATCTAGGAATCTATAAAGGTAATAGGTGCATCTGATGAAAGCTACTCAGCTGCTGTGGTGTAACGAGGCCGCGGTAAATCTTTTATCCACCGCAATATGTTTCTTGTACGTGTGGTTCGAATATTGATCCTGTCTGAAGGTAGTATTCACGTTGTCAATTATACATTACCGTAATTATTTCATCGGTTGATAATCACGTCATTGGTAATAACCAAGTCATCGGTAATAACCACCTCCTTGGTAATAATCACCTCGTATGTAATAACCACCTCAACGGTAATAACCACCTCCTCGGTAATAACCACGTCATCGGTAATAACCACGTCATCGGTAATAACCACGTCATCGGTAATAAACAAGCGAAACCTTGTACCGTTGTCCCAGTAGTCATAAAAAGAACCATTTGATGCCTGGTCATCATCACTCCAGAGAATATTTAATTCGATAACATCTCAAATACATTACATGGATGAACGCAGCTGTCGAGCGCTGAATGAGAAGGAAAAAATGTGCAGAAACACGCACAGTTTTCAGCACAAAGCGCTTGTATAATAGAATGTAATCTTTTCTGATTTACACTTCAGGAAAGTAAGTACCCGCGCTACATATACCCACACCCTGCAGCTGCTGCTGCCCCAGCACAGCTTATAAAGGTGAAGAAAACTCTTCCGAGTGCTCTGTATGAGTTGTTTGTATATGGATTTAGCACAGAGAGTAGCACGGCTGCGTAGTTCAGAATTTCCTTAAGAGCGTTTACCTTAAAGCTAATTATTATAGACCGTCTCGAGTAAACTAAGCTACTGAATTACAATTGATTTAATGCAGTAGAATTCGAGAAGGTAATAACGAATACGATGAAATACTGAATATAACAGTAAAAGAGATAACGGTTTAATGTAAAATGCATGGCGTTTGGAGGCACATCTCGTGATGGGATCCATGGTTAGGACGAGTATCACCAAATAATGCATGATTATGACCATCGCTGAAATGGATAATTGCAACCATTCATGTCTTGAAAGGCAAATCTTGCCTATAAAGATCAAGTATGCAGAAGCTCCCAAAGACATGCTCAGGATAGTTGAAATATACACCATAAACATGGCACCAAAGCGGCACGTCCGAGTTGCTAGGGGCTAAGGCATTGGAGGAATTTGATTACTTAATATATGACCTGATTTATTAAGCAATCATAAATCACATTTATTTTAATTTTTCGTATTTATGTTGCAGATGTACACTGTCGCAATTGGAACACGAATGCTACAGCTGTTGATGGCCATGCAGTTTCTGCTGCAGCTTGTCCCAGCGAATGGCGCGATCTCGGCCGAAGCCTCAGCGTCGGCTGAAGATGCTGCAGCGTTTTCGAATGATCAGGGTATGTTTCCGATGCTTTTTAATCTACGTGAATTATTACATGTACATGGATTAGACAAGTTCAACACATGTACACGCATTCAAAAGATAACGGTCTCGTGTTAACACATTTCTTTTATGATCGCAGAAGAGCGCTTCTACCTGGTAACATACGCTACCAGCACCGAACTACATGTCTCCTTCACTACAGCCACCGTGCCTTACACGTGCCTTGCCCGTGAGTGTCGTGATCTACACGTGCTCGGCCCGTGAGTGTCGTGCCTTACACGTGCTTGGTTCGTGAGTCGTGCCCTACACGTGTCTTGCCCATGAGTGCCGTGGTCTACAAGTGCCTTGCCTGTTGGTGTCGTGCCTTACACGTGCCTTGCCCGTGAGTGTCGTGCTCTACACGTGCTTGGTCCGTGAGTGTCGTGCCTTACACGTACTTGGCTCGTGAGTCGTGCCTTACAAGTGCTTGGCAAGTGAATGTCGCATTTGGCATGATGTGGCTGTGAGTGTGCGGCATGGGTTGGGTGAGTTAGTGACATGGGGCTTAGGCTGTGGGTATGATGGACACGATCGCCCAGATATCGCTGAATGTACAGATAATAACATAAGTCATCTACTACATCAGTACAGAATGTGCGCCCACCGCCAGCACTCACTTATTCCAACCTTCACCAATTCAGTCAATATCCTCAAATCAAGACCACCAATCTTGTAAATGCGAATGCGTTTTCCCAACTCGAAGAATATATAATTTAAAAACAGTTTTCTGGTGTCCATTTAAATTCTGGTGTCCATTTCAGTCTTTTGCCGCTATAGTTGAATGCCTGACCAGAGACAACTTTCCAAAAAGCTCCCTCAATTATTGGCTGCGCAATATGTGTTTTTGACGTTTTTCTAAAGCTCTGTTGGGGTTCCCTCAGAAATCGCGGGAGCGTCGTGTACGGGTCGGCAGGTACGTCTCAAGCGACGTCCGCAGCAAAACGCTGTCGTCTTAGCCCCTTCGACGTCGATGCAAATCGACTCGTCGCTGAACGGCTTCATCAGTGACCCACTTTTTGGTGACTCAGCTTTAGGCAAGGAAGACGTGGCAAGAAGTACGGGAAAGCAGCTCTTTACGATCTGGAACGTATCCTACACGACGATCACGATGACTACGACCTACACGAACCTCTCCGTGACGGCTTCCATCTCCGCTATGTGCTTGCCCAGCGGGTCCCTGCTACCAAGAATCTGCTAGGACATCCAAGTACACGTCTACCGTACTGCTCACGCATGCACATGTACCCCATCCACCATGCATACCATGTGCATGAGCCGTGTGTGTCTCCATGCAAATAAGCTTCAATTTGTAGGCCCACGTAATTGAACGTCATAACTTCTATCATGCATATATGATTTTCATTCTCCAGCTCCATATAATCATTCGTCTCACTCCACGGTATCACCGTGTTAAATTGTATTGCACACGAGTGTAACTTATATATAGCTTGTTGGCCCAGAAAATGTTACTGCATGATTTTCCTAGAGAAAATTATAGTCATAATAACTGTAATTTCTGGATTTCGATAATCGTAGAAGATGAGGCTACACTCTTCGCATGAATACTCATATTATCGTAGGGGATATAATCAGTAATGTAGGGAATAAAGCTCTTCTGTTCGGTATTTAACTGATGAAAATCATAGGAAATGAGGAATTTCTGTTCAGTAGTTTACTTACAAGATAGTGTTCAGAAGTTAACTCATGAGAAACGTATAGGAATAAAACTATTCCGTTCAGTTTTGCTGATGAGAACAGTCAACTGATGAGAATCGTAGGGAATAAAACTATTCTTCTGTTCAGTAGTTGACTGATGAAAATCGTATGGGATAATTTTATTTGAGTACAATAGTTAGAGTTACATCGTGTTACGTGTGCAATTTCCACAAGGATTGGAGCGGCGGTAAATAACATAAGAAGATCCTTCTAAAGCGTTCTTCATATTGCGTGATTAGAATTAGGCATTGATGTGGCATTTTGCGCTGCAGGAAAATACAGAGCAGCGATGTCGAGATGAAGAAGCTGTGGCGAGCAATCAAGGAAATGGGGGAAATTATAGGTTTTTCGCTGTGAAAAAAAGCAAGAGGATAGTAACAGGATGGTTGTAGATGAAGCAAAAACTAAAGCAAGTACATAAATGAAGACGTCGCGCGGCCGACGCATGCACACCGACGTACGACGTGTGGGAATGAAGGTGAGTATATATAGCAACACGTCTCCAGATCACAAGTATAGAGGAATGATCTGATTTTTAAGTTTTAATTACAAAGATACTTCATTCATAATAACACTAAATAAATTTGCTCGCTCCATTGCAGCAAAATAAAAATTATAAATTAATACATGCAATGCTATAAAAGCATAAATGATGTAAATAACATTCATGTTAGAAAAATAATGACCACATAGGCAGCTAAAAATATTAACAGCTAGAGCCTACGATTTTGTAAGAAGTTTTCTAGAAATGTTATTCAGCTCATGTTTATTTAGCCCTGGAATACGACTAGGAAATATCAATCACTTCTTCAATGAATATGTCTCGACTGAACAACACGTGTAATAACCAATTAACATACGTAATTAATAACCGGTGGCCAGACACCTCATTATACGAGACATTTCATCAATGAAACGTTTTATCATTATAGTAATACATCATCAGACATCTATCAATATAACAATTCCTTATTGGAAAATTCTTCATCATTGCAATTCATTGCATAGAGTGCATTTTACAAATATTATTGAATTCTGTTAGAATTGGAAATTAAAGAACAAAGAAAGCGTTGAAACTTTTATTGTTGTGGTTCCGAAAAGAGAAGTGGTTCGCAGAACGAAGTCAGGAGGAAACGAGAAGCACGAAGCGCGATGAGGGACTCGTGCACTGTAGTAGAATGCGTTCGCACATAAGTACAAGTTGAATGTTAGGAGTCTAGAACACGATATTTAATTTCAGTTGAATGAGTCACTGTTTCAGGTGAATATATCTCTCTCTCCAATTCTCACCATATATTGCCGGTGGCAACAGAACGTAATAAGCAAGGAGTAGTTCAGCTCAAATAAACAGAAACGGCAGAGTTGAAGACCAAGTAGAGGGCGTTGGGAGGATTCTTATCTGAGTAAGACAGAAAACCAACTTGAGACTATCATTAATGGATTCAAAGTTATAACGCAATGGATTTCAGTATGATTCAAGTAAATTCAGAATAACGATAACAGTTTCAAATAATCAAAATAACAAACCTATTTGTTTCCGTTGAGGAATCCTAGATATGTGTTCTCATGTAGAGAACTATTAGAAAGAAAATAGAGAAAACAGTAATATGAATTTTCGCTCGTATTTAAAGAGAGTTAAGCGCATGCAAGCATGCAAGTTAATTCACAGCACTAAGGCATGTGACAAATCGGTATACACCGAAGCTAAAAGGAGCCAATAACCCTACGGGTTTCAACCAGTGGCGTAAAGCCAGCTAAGCAATATCTTATACGAGCGAAACACAGAAGTGCTAACATGCATTAAATGGAATAAAATCAAATGAAAACACACTCGCACAAACAGAAATTAAGGTATAGAAAAGCAATAGTTAACAAAATTAGTTATACTGTTTGAGCAGGAGGTCTTCACTCGGGTAAGGTTAAGGTAATAATAATCAAGATCGAGCTAACGCGTATACTTTGCCTCCTAACACGAGACAAACGATAAGCGTATGAACATTAACGAGTTAATTAGACAATAAATTTTAACAATATAAGTGTATATATAGGTGCAATTCGAACGAATAATGACAAGAGAATGCATTTAACCTACACCTCCAGTCTGGAGGACAGGGAACCCTTGAGACAAGCTCACAAGACCGTCGCTCACACTGTGCTGGAGGAAACCACCAGCATCGTCATCATGCAGTGCTGGAGGAACCCACCAGCATCGTCATTGTGCAGTGCTGGAGGAACCCACCAGCATCGTCATCATGCAGTGCTGGAGGAACTCACCAGCATCGTCATCATGCAGTGGCGCCCAATATTAACCGACCGACGATTGCTGGCCGATCTCAGCCATCTGTTTTCAAACTCCCAAAATTGTCTGAACTTTGAGATAGTTTTCAGAGTCATTTTCCGTTTTAAAATTCCTTGTTGTATCCTATTTGTATGTATTATGTAATTATGTCCATCAAAATTTCATTCTTCAATGCTTCTATTAAATTGAAAGTGAATGTTGATACATTCGAAACGTCGTTAAATATATTATAAATCATTGGTGAGACCTGCTTTTTGATCTGTTAACGTCTTCTGAAGAATTTTGATTTCTTTAAAATTGGAATTAATGCATTCTCTGGTCAATATTTTTACGTGTTTCAATAAGAAAATTCAGCCATCTAATGCTAATACTATATAATAGGTGTAACTAGGTAATTAACATACTGAGCAACTAGATAGGCCTTAGTATCCTGCTTTTTAGCAGTATCCATAGGATTTAGTATACATCTTGCTTTTTGCTGGCATTGGTGCAATATCCATCCTGGCTTCTGTTGCCGTAGGTGCAATATTCATCCTGGCTTCTGTTGCCGTAGGTGCCATATCCGCCTTGCCTTCTGCTGGCATTTGTCCGGTGTCAATCAGGCGTCTCATTATATTTATTAAAATTATGTTATAAAATTAGATCATCCGTAATTGAAACGTAATATTTACTAGACGTGATGGAGATTGATGATAAAGTAGGCTACTAGACAACATCACGTGAAAGATCCGTTAGAGCCGTGATTAAATAAAAGGGCTTGGAATATACACTCATCGACGCTTCAATGCTACAATGTGTAACCGATACTACCGATACTACGTTAATGATCGACGTACAGTCGAGTAAAATCTATTTTACATTTGTCGTCTAATGAGCAATTCATCCTGCATAATGATTCCTTCTTGTTATCTTTATTGTATGAGGCTTGATTTATAGGTCATTTCATAACGATAGTTGATATACATATAATGAATAATTGCTGCCCTTCAACCTTCAACCTCTAACATTCAATACGAGAAAAATTAAGCTAAAATATGCTATTGAATTAAAACAATTCAGAGATTGAGAGATCTTAGTATCCAAGACTCACCTAAATGCCCAATATATCCAAATATATTTCTCATGAATGTACAATAATAACGAAGTAAAGATTCATTATGAATTAAATTTCGCGTTTTACACGATTTTGCGGAGTTGAAAGCAAAACCGAACTCTGCAACAGTCACTAGATAACAGAGACTATAAATAATCGGAATAATTGTGTAAGGATTTAGTCATTTATACTACAAAATAGCGGTTATCCCGTCATTACGGATGTAAGTTTATTGCGGACCGGAACTTACTAGGGACGAGTTATTTTAGATATTAAGGTTGTTGACTTTACGATCTCATCCTCGGCAGAAGTCTCCTTCTGAAAATGTTTGCTAAGTTTGCGCAACGTTCGTTCGAAAATCGTTTTGTCAGCAAAGTTTACTCCACGCTAAGCGAAGGAAGTTAATGCGATCTTAAAGAGACAAGCGATATAATTAATGAGGTTCGAGGAGTTCATTCTTAATGAGATTTGCCAATGCAAGATATTTAATATTGAGATATTTAGATAGATGTGATTATTTAATCCCTAATTCGAGATAATTTTTTCGAGATTGAGATTCCCACGAAGTCTTTGTCATTGAGATAAACTGTGATTACCTACTCAAATGGAATATTTCAACTGTTTGAAACTGACATGTTAATGTTATGGTTACATTAGCGCATAATGTTTTTTAAAACGTTTTAATTTTACCATCTTAGACCGTAAATTATTATATAGGTAATTTTTGCAACGTTCTCACGCTGAACGATAATTGATGTTTTGAAATTTAAGATTTTAGTGGCATTCCAATTCAGAAATGGTGATTAACTTGCTGTTAACCTTATCAATAAATAAGCATCCCGATTAAATTACCTGTAGCTAAATAATCATTAAAGTTAAAATGTCTGTTATTTTGCTAGCATTTGCTTTAGCAATAACATGAAATTAGTGAAACAGACAATATGCTAATATTGATTTTCTTGTTTGACAATTATGATGCGTTCATAACATTATAATTTTACGATTAAGAGGAACATGCAGGGTTTCGTAAAAGCATATCTCTTATCTTTATTTTTGCTTCCTTTGCGATTTAATAAAAGCTCACAGATAACTAAAGCGCTTGACATATTCATACATTAAAATTTAATGCATCTAATTGCAGTGACTCGGTGTGAGCCAATGGATACAAATGCTCATATGTTTTCCAGCAGACCTAGTTAGCTCTGAGTCCACTGTGTCACTGAGTCCTCAGACGCTGAGTCGACAGATTCTGCAGCATATGTGTCGCGAGGACAAGAACCCGATGACGGGAGATTTTGAACACGATCTTTTCTTGATTTTGCTTCTATATGATCGAGGACGGTCTTTTAGAAAGAGGGTAGGTGTCCGGTGTCAATCTGGCGTCTCATTATATTCATTATAATTGTATTATTTGATTAGATCATCTGTAATTGAGACGTAATATTCACTAAACGCGATAGAGGTTGATGGAAAAGTACTAGACCTGAGTCAGAGTCTGGACAACATCCAGTGATAGATCACGCGATAGCCGTGATTCTATAAAACGGCTGTGAACCTTAGTAAGGCCCCTCAGAAGCTGACAAGTACGCACGTCGCAATATAACTCGCGTTAGAGCTACTCTGACCAAACGGTCGAAGTCTTAGCTTTACCGGCATCGTATCTCTCACGACTTACCACCTCGTATCAATATGAGTTCTCTAGACAGATGGTGTCTGACTTATCACTTACGAATTTAGTCACGTATTCCGGTCCTCAGGTGGCGCCTAATATAAGGGCCTGACATATTGGTGCAATATCTATCCTGCCTTTGTTGGCATTGATGCAATATACGCGTACATCCTGCCTTCTCTTGCCGTTGGTGCAATATATATCTTAGCTATAAATTTTGACCTAAATAGCCTCATGTGAGGTAGTAAGAATCTGGTGACAAGTACAACAATATTCTGAACATATTCTCGCAGTTATTTTATTACACATTAGATAACCTAGCGCTTACCAAGAGCAAGAAGACAAGCGGCTGGCTTCAGTAAGAATCAATGAATGGTCAAATCGTAAGACAAGTCCTTCTAGTACTTTGGTCGATGTTGCCAGAACATCTGATACAAAATTCTTTAAACTGAAATTCATTACAGTAACTTACATGCAGTAGATGCCTCTTTTCCTAGGTAACATAAATTCAATAAATGCTTCTTTTCCTTAGTAACTTACATGCAATAGATATACATAGATGCCTTTTCTTCTAACTAACTAATATGCAATAGATGCCTCTTTTCGTAGCAAACTGAAATGAATTATATTTCTTTCGGAGTTAAGACTTAAAAGCTTCAACTCATCTAGCAGGGAGTCCAGGGTTGCGTTAAATTATTCGTATTATGTAAGATCAGCTAATTGTTAATTGATTAGAGAATTAATTTGAAATCCGAAGATAATATACTGTAACAATAACACAATAATAATATGCATCCTTTGATAATATTATAAAATTGAGTACATTGGTCCCATGCATATAAGGAAGTGATCACACCTGATACAGGAGACGTTAAGTAACGCTGCTGCTCTGGTCGTCCTCGTGCTGGCCGGCGCCCTCGCCAGCCCCCCGTCCTCAAATGTTGGTACTAGTCCGTCGCCTTTACTTGAGGGGATTAAACCCTCGCCCTCACATGTTGGGACTAACCCCTCGCCCTCACATGAGAGGACCAATACCTCATCTTCACATGAGGTGACCGATCCCTCGCCCTCACAAGAGAGGACCAGCCCCGCACACTCAAAAGAGGGGACCGACTTGAAGAGAGAGGTGCAACGAACCTCCGTAGCAGCGGACCAGATTCCCAATGCGGCGGCACAGGCCGACGATGATGGGCGAGACAAGCCCATCCTCGCGAGGCTGGGGGAGCACGACAGGCTCGCGGGGCAGGATGAGGATCAGAAGGCTGAACAAAGAAGTGAGTAACGCCGATAAAATTATGCAGGGGCTGCTGCGTCGTTCTATACCTTCCAAAAAGGTATTCACGTGTGAAGAAAATAGTGATCAGCTCGAACCTGTTCAGGAACGCAGTTTGTAACGAGGTGATAATGTAAGTAAATATATTAGTGAAGACATTAGTGAACTTATTAGCAAACACATGCAGCACTGAGGTCTGGGTACCATGTATGCTACCATGAGGAGTGGACACACACAGCCTTTGAAGGAGTGGACACACACAGCCTTTGTTGAGGAATAAAGGAGTTTGAGAACAATGGTCAAGATGGCTGGCTGGTCCACTGCTTAACGGAGTCATAAAAATATAACAGTGGCCAAAACAGGTCCCGGTGTGGTTCCTCAACCGTACAGTAGATGGTATGGTAAACCACCCTAAGAAATTGCCTAATTGCCCGCGCCTCTACAAATCTCGTATGACTTATACATGTTGTTCGAAGTTTGTAATATGTTATAGTTCTTACAACTTTACAACTGATTTAAGTGGTAATTAAGTAATTTTAGTAATTTTTTATTGTTAAGGGGAGCGTCTAGGGTAAAATTTTGGATTTCGGCTTTTCCGGTTTTTAGTCTCATCTTAAAGCTGACATTCTGATCTATCCAACGGTACCAAAACCATCTCTGTACGTTGATTTATGCGTTCACAACAGATCATGAAAGGATGTTGCGTTTCAGATATGGTCTTTACGCATCGAATGATATGTGTCTCAATGTTGTAGCTTGAAAATCCTAGGAGGAGATAGATTTCTACGGTACCCCCTATTTTGGCCGTTTTCTAAGAATTTCACGTTTTCTTTCATTTTTTTCGAAAAATTCACACGAACAAAAATGTCTTAGAATTCTATTTTACAACATATGTGTACCAAGTTTCAGAGTGATCCGTTTGTAAATAGCCGAGATAAATTTTACCCTAGACGCTCCCCTTAAAATATTGCGATCATTCCAGGTGCATAATATTTAGTTCAGGCTCATGCTTTGTCGAAAAAATTCAAAATGGTTTAAAATGAAGTTATAGTCGCAGCAGTTATAACATTCTAAATTTTTTGCTGGTGTGATTGTAGAGAAGTTCTTCCTGTGGGCGAGCTACACCACCACCACCAAGTTCAAGCTCTCCCTCACCACCTCCTCTGTCCCCGCCACTTGTTTCAACGGTTCGTAGTGATGCAGTTCTTTGTGATCAGGAATATGATAATGCATTTCCATTTTATGCGCAGTAATGTGACAACGCATTCCAATTTTATAAGCAGTTATATGGTACCACAACCGAATCTAATATATAAACAGTAATACCTTGCCCCAACGTGACTCTCTCACGACATACCTTCCCTAACTAATAAGCCTGTCACGATGTATTCTTCCAACCCAATAATGCTGTCACTACGTACTACCCCAACCTCCAGATCCTGTCACGACTTACAGTCCCATTCTTCAGCAACCTCTTACAGAGATTCTACGTCACTTTATAATCATACTGGAATGACCGGTCTAGGCCGGTCCATACACCTAACATACTGTACGTGACTGATTGCGTCAGGATTACAAACGCTCTTTCGAAATGTCATTAAATTTGACTGGGTGAAAGGGGTGCTTGTGTTGCTTTATATGTATCAACAAATTATACTTGCCGTTTTATAGTGTGTAGAATTGTAATTGTGCACAATAATAACAATAGCTTACTGTTATACTGTATTTTGGAAAGATTTTGTCCTCGATCTTACGTCGTAAAAAACAAGCTTTTATCAAAGTTTTTATTACCTTGTTCACAAAATTACCTAAAAATTCCATTATGATTTGGTACCACAATCGGCTGACATACTTTATACTGCCTGGAAAAACCCCGTATAAATCTAAGGTCCGTGTGAGAAAATGAACGGTCTACCGTATTTTCGTTGGACTGCAGGCTGCAGGAAACACCCTCGTGTGAGAATCGATTTATCGAACATTCCAGGTTCGCAGAGAAAGGACGATAACGGAGCTTTCGCTGCGCGTCGAATTTCAGCGCGGAATTTGAATAACTTGATCAACTGATTTCCGTAAAATGCACAGAGAAGATACGGAATGCAATCACTAACTTCGATCATAAGTAGCATTGCAGTTTAGTTTCTTCGTGAACTCTGTGACTGTCACACAAACAAATTGCGTTGCTTGATTTTCGAATATCACCAGGTCTGTATAATTCACGAACTCACAAGTCAAAATAGAAGTTAAAAATAAAGGTGTTTATTAATTGAAAGCTTCATGATATTTCTTCACTCCCTCTATCTCACCAACCTGCGAGAAGTGTAAGACCTTATGACAAAATCTAAATGTGAAGATGCTGTTGAGAAACGGGTTTCAATATCTCCTCTTTCCTAAAAATGAATTCAAATTATTGATTTAGCCTCTGATTCGATTTCGTTGTTGAATATTTTGCACCCTCTGTGCGTGATATTGAGTTATTGTAATCGAACAGTACGTGCAACTAAATCAGATCTCATAAGCAAAGAAAACGTCAATACACTTCACCATATTTTCATTTGAAACGTTTCAACGACCAACTCCGTTTAGAGAAACGTAGGAAAACAATCCTCATCTCTAAGTATTATTGAATATTTGAGTGCAATAAAAGAACACAAATAGTATCAAATTTGCAAGGGAGAGATAACAGCCTAAATGTTCATAGTAACGGGCTAAGGTAGAGATTTCGTTCTGGAGCTCTGCTTGCGCATTCACCTCATTCAGTGCACCTTCAAGCTGAACCGTACGACGTAACTGCGTCCGTGAGCGATTTTAAATCAAAGCTCCACGTCCTACGCTGATTTCTGCTGTCTTCGATTAGCTGTGCATTTTTAAACGAGAACTTCGTCTAATAATATCGTACCTAACAGCTCATTCTTAAACTTTTTTCCTCTAGTTTGTATGTCTCCCAATTCTTACACAAGTTTTAATTGATTCCAAATTTTTAGAGAACCAAACCCATCGCAGTTTTTTATTGTGTTCAATGAATGAAATTCAAGATAAAGAAGAATAATTCTACTCAATACAAAGGTATTAACGGGAAAATAAATATTTGTGGATCTCGCCCAGCCTACATGGATCTATGTAGTCAAGCTCTGTGGGTTTAAAATAACCATTGAGTTTCTACGACATAATCACGATCATAAAATAGTAATAAATTGACAATCATACTCAGCTAACTGTACATTGAATATTATCGAATTGACTCACGCAGTTGTTACAATTACAACACAATTTGGGGTGCCATAAGAAAAATATGATGACGGAGCAGAAGCGGCGTAGAAATAGAACAGCCAACTGATAACTGGAGTCTCTTGTGCGTTGCCATAGATATTTTTATCTCGCGTAGGATGACAATCTAAATCTATAATGTTGAAGGTTCTACGCTGAACTCCCTCATGTAGTTGAGGTTAATTTACAAGAATTTGTTGTAAAAGTTCATGGATTGGACATTAAAGGTCTCATGATTTCAACATTTGACATTTCATACTTAGTACTGAGTACCGGCGAATCAGCCAAATAAAATATGGTATTGTCACTACACTTATATGTTATGGAAATTTTTTCCATGTGCATTGTGACCGTTTAAAATAGCTCTCAAAGACATTAGAGTCATAGTAATCTAACAAACTTTGGAAATGAGAGGATGATGTCTTTTAAAAGTTTTCAGTAAAATAATAGCAAATTTTCTTGATGTTTATATCTATATTGTCGTGCGCCTTGTGTANGTATTAACTATACCTACCGTGTTTGGATATTATATGAACCTAATATTTTTTCTTACTTCAGAAAACATGTTATTTACAAACGGGAAGAGTGGTGGATTGTTACGTGTAGCCACTATGACCGAATTTGAGATGCCGCGGTTTCGGATAAATCTCTGACAAGGGTCGGCCAAGGTGTTGCTTGTTCCCCATCCAGATTTAGTATAAGAAAATCAACGATAGCGCATTTTAACTACCTCCATTACCTTGAAGAAAGCATAGGTGGAAGAATATGTCCTATATTCATTCCGGGTTAAGTGGAAGGAACTTCAGGAAACAGGATCGTGAGAAAATTTTTAATAAAATACGGTACATCCTTTTACGATTAACTATACCATTAATTCTAATTTTGAACGTCACAGTGCATCAGTTTTATTGCCTGAGTACACTCCAGTGGGGTTTGGGGCAAGGCCAGTCATGCACGGTGATCGAGGAGCTGCATGGGGACCGGATCAGTCATGCACGGTGACCGTGAGGCTGCAGACCGGGCCTCTAAACTAAGGTGATCGTAGACCATGCAATCTCTGATGAGGATAATTTGTTCCTTAATTCAGCCTCGGAGCCGAAGGAAACTGATAAGCTGTTTTAATTGCGCGTGAGAAAAACCACTGCTACTTAAATGACGGATTGGCAGCGACAGCTTCATATTGTTAGCGCTGTGACGCGACGACTGCACATGCACGGACGCACGTGCAGTGAGTGTGATGTGCTGTCTGATATTGTTTATGGTGATTGTGCCATACGATCTGTCCAAGGCTATAGGGAATGCTGTGCAATCTTTCAAATTGTATGGATAGTGTTTTGTGGTTTGTCTTTACGTATTTTTGGTAACTTTGTTAACATTTCGGACGAAGCAGTTCAAGGCTACTGAGGTTTCCCAGTTGGTAGTTGGAAAAAATAGCTCATTAAGTAGCTCAACAGAGTCACCTAGTTGAGCTACCATGCATGCATGATCTCTTATCACATTGAGTGCTTTCTTGAATTTAAATATTTGGCAAGCAGGATATCGATGGAATGTGGCTATGCAGAGGTCAAGCTGTTTAATGTAAAGTAGCTAGGGTGTTCCTAAGGTGATAAATTACTCCTCCTTTCCTCTTCTTCTCCTGTTGGTCTGCGCTGTAAGGCCGAGTACAGCCAATAGCAATTTTTCTCCATACGGGAGATCATTTCTTAGATGTGACTTCGTTAAAGCTACCATTGAGAAAGCTCCTCGGTCTGCCTCTGATCACGCCGAACCTTGACGTGCTCTTAGTGGGAAGAGTCCTAGATGTTGGCCAACAAAATGACAGACTCTCCCCAGCCGTCTTGCCGTTCTTACCTGCAGCAACATCGCTATCCTAGGTATCTCTGGCTCAGCAGCTGCTGCTACTGGTCTTTTATTACATGTATTACATGTATTATTACATAGGCATGTATTAGTTCTATGTCTCCGCACGCATAAAAACAACTGTGGCTGACTGCTTGTCCTCCGTGCGCATGTCTGTCCCAAAATTCGTGGTGCATTCATTGCAGTGGCGACTCCTGTTGGGACGTCTCTGCCATGTCGAGGGTTTTTTTCTTCGCCGTTTACTCCCATGGCATTTCCACATCCATTTCATTGAAAAGTTTTCCCGGAGAGGTTAGGGCTTCTCGTGGATAGAGACGTAATGTATGGTGTGGTCTGTCCTAGAGTGACAAATCGGTTTCAGCGCCAATTGTGAGCGCTATGTGGTGCGGCCGCTATAGAGTATGATGAATTCTATGACATTCCTACCGCCAACCGTTCATACTACCCACAATTCCTACTCTTGGCAATCAGTACAACTCATCATTTCTACTACTTATCAATCTTGCATCTACCATATGAACTACCCGCTATTCCAGCTATCGATCATCCGTACGACCGGAGTAATACTACTTTTTGGCTACTCCTTTCGTACAACTCGAAAATATAATTCCATTAACTGTACTTATAATAAAATTTGACACCGATTTATCAACTGATTTGGGATAAATGTCTGCCCCTTCGTTCCAGTCCTGGAGTTAATTAGCAACGACTTCAGAAGCATATCCATAGCAATAAAAGCATTAATTGGATGATGCATTTGTGGGGGCTGTTTGCGCTGTTTGCAGTGGTTGCTGCAAACAACAAGCAACAAGATTACGGTGATGACGTCATCGAAGTTAGAAATGCTTTACATCGTGAACAAGACGGTGGTGTCAATGACGGCTATTCAGACGATCTTGCAGCTCAAAAAACCGATGAAAATGTTATTCCGAACGTCACTCCACAAATTTTTGGGCGAGACTCTCATCCACAACAGACGTATGATGACGGCCGGGGTAAAGACGTATAAAACGCATTTTCTCTCTCTCCTAATTCGAATGCATAAAAATTTCTTAAATTTTACTTGTTTACATGAATAAAAATTTCAAATATTTTATGACAAATTTAAGACGTCATACTAGATCAATAAATTTGCAATGGCATCGTAAAGTAAAATTAACATTGTATTTCCTACAGCGAGACTCTTCTTCTTTGCAACGAGCAGCACTACAACAAAGTTCAAGCTGGCATTTGTTACGTCAACAACTCCCTACACCTGCGTAAAAAGTGAGTTGTGTCCACAACTCTCTACACCTGCATAGAAAGTGAGTTATCTCCCAACTTACAATTTCATGCGACTTGTATCGCTAAGAGATCTGTCTCATCATTGAATTGGTTAAAAATCTATCTTCCATGAAGCACCTCATATGAGAAGCATTATACGTTATAATGTGTCACGTTGCAGGTTCATCAAAGTTGCACTCAGAATTTCGTGATGGCCAAATTTTTCTCCTACTGCTCAACTCGCTTAGGTCATTTGCGAGCATCTTTCGACGGTGTAAGTTTATGGAAAAAATCAATCCCGCTTATTCGTTAATTTCCGTGACGATTCGATACTTCTTTCGTCTTTGGGTATTGAACACATCCTTACTTCAACAGCTGCGAGTGACGCGAAGTGTGCTGGACGTCGACGCCGAAGTTCCTTGCTCATGCGTAACGCCATACCGAACATTAAGACGATGTTAAACGATGTTGTGATCAATGGCTCGATCGACGACGTGGAGTCAGGGGACGACGAAGTCTCATCAGAGCGAGAGCCCCGTAACTTCCTGACGGTGTGGACAACGAGTTTCTCGACGAGGACGGTGACGTCCTACGTCACTGACAGAGGCGTGACGGTGTCTGTCTCAGCTTACTGCACGGGCAGCGGAGTGCCAGGCTGTGCCGTCTAGACAGGAGAGAGCCTGAGACGGCTGAGAAGGACTAGACTGATGTGGTTTCCCCAGGATCATCGGAAACTTGTGAGGGACTCGACGGCTCTTATTCTCCAAGGTCTTAAGGCTGCTTTGAGGACTCGACTGCTTTAATTTTCCTTGCTTTGGGGATTTTTGGGGCTTATGGAAGCACTGTTAAAGAAATGTTTTAAATATGTTAAATGTTAAAGATGTTTGGTTCCGACACGAAAGTTATTTCCTAATAAATAGCAATAGGAGTTTGCACCGAAAAGTCTTCTTATATTTATTCAACTACCGGAGGAAATTTTCAACAGTAATAGCAGGTAGGCAACATGTGGTATAGACATAAGTATTGCAATTGAATTTATTTTGTGTGGATCTGAGATATTATGACTCCATGATACGAAATACATGCTGATCTTTCATACGATGTTTTCGTTTCCACAGTTCGTGGGAGTTGAGAGTTTATAACTTATGAACATGACAAGACTCCAGAGGCTCCAGCGCTGACATGACAAGACTCCAGAAGCCAAAGCGCTGGCATGACAAGATTCCAAAGGCCCAGCGCTGACATGACAAGACTCCAGAAGCCACAGCGCTGGCAAGACAAGATTCCAAAGGCCCAGCGCTGACATGACAAGACTCCAGAAGCCACAGCGCTGACATGACAAGACTCCAGAAGCCACAACGCTGGCATGGCAAGACTCCAGAGGCCCCAGCGCTGGCATGACAAGACTCCAGAAGCCACAGCGCTGGCAAGACAAGATTTCAAAGGCCCAGCGCTGACATGACAAGACTCCAGAAGCCACAGCGCTGACATGACAAGACTCCAGAGGCTTCAGCGCTGGCATGGCAAGACTCCAGAAGCCACAGCACTGACATGACAAGACTCCAGAGGCCCCAGCGCTGACATGGCAAGACTCCAGAGGCTGACATCCTACCATTCGTTCCTCGTCGTGCAGTGCCAGAAGGAAAATGCGTTCATAAATTTAACTACGGAGAAATCGGCAAAAATTGCTCGGCTGGACTCAAAAATAAATTATATCAATAATAAATCAATGGATATGAATAAAGCGTTTGTGGGCGGCGTATATATACGCGGGGCAGCGCAGTATAGGAGGTGGTTGTGCTGGAGTTGCGACCGAGCCCTGACGCGTCCCCGGCTTCTGGTTGGTTAGTGGTGAGTGGGTGAGTGGTGAGTGGTGAGATGTGAGTGGTGAGTGGTGAGATGTGAGTGGTGAGATGTGGGTGGGTGAGTGGTGAGATTTGAGTGGGTGAGTAGTGAGATGTGAGAGGGTGAGTGGTGAGATTTGAGTGGGTGAGTAATGAGATGTAAGTGGGGTGCGTTCACCAATTCGCACCTCAATTGGTGAGGTACGAATTGGTGAGTAGGTGAGCCGGACTTAGTCACTATATGCTTTTGAGCAAAATCAGGGAATGATATGCAGTTAGAATATAAAAGTTTGTATTATCGACCAAGCCGCTGCAAGCAGATAGCTCATTAACAAGGTTGCTGGGTTGCAAGAATGAGAACTCATTATGCCACAGTTGCTCGGTTGCATTTATAATTATGTAGGCGCAGCTAATGGATCTTTTCGTATTCAGTCGATTTCAAGCACCTCTGTTAAGCTACCTCTGTTAAGCGTTCAAATCTGTTTTCCGAACATAAAAACTATTGTATTTTCCAAACATAAATAAAATCCGGTCATTAACCGAAAGTCACGATTTAATACTGTAACCAACATAGTGGGTATGGTGAGTAGGGAAAAGGTCAGTCGGATAATGAATCAGTCGTCATTATTCTCTCATAAAATAACTAACCTTAATAACACAGTGAACAGGGACGATGAGATTTATCGTTCCTTGATCCATGTTACAATAGGATGTTCTGCTTACCAGTGTCGCATTTCCCAGGTCTTGCCAGGCAAAAGAGCCTATATTATAATGCTACGCGGCCGCTCTCGCGGCTAGTGTTGTGGGTAAGACGGAGTGTCAAATTCTGGGCAATATTACACACATAATTTTGAGACTCAGGGCCATGACAGCGATGACCAAAGTCTGTACTAAAAAGACAATTGATCATACTGTTCAAATTGTGACGCACTTATTTACCCACACAAAAGGATGCAGTGCGTCGTTGTGTAAATCAATTTTCGCTTATTTCTCCAAGTGTCGTGTTGCCAATAACAATTAATTAAGGACGGAGCTAGCCCGCTTCCTGGGGCTCTTAATTAAAGCCCCGAGTGCATCAGAGGCGTCTTCCTTCGACCTCGTACACGTGCGCCTGGCTGAAATGTTCACATAGACAAGCCTTTTACAAGTTTGTTGTTTGTAATTTTATGCCTTTAATGGCAAAAACTGAGTTACAATTAGAAAGCAGGCGCTTTTTTTACTTACAATACTGGCCTGTCATAGAAAAGCCTCGTTTGATTTATTTTGACATCCGCGGTGCAAACGTTTCAAGGGCAACATTGAATTGAAGGTTTTACAAACTTGAAATGAATTTTGATTAAGAAAAAATATCTCGGCAAGACAGTCTCTCGTTTAAAATAAGGCAAACTATTTAAAATTCAGCGCAGGTTGATGTTGGCAAAATAATTAATATTGGTGATACTTGGATTTTATGAAATAAATTTCTTCAAAATTCTTAATACTATATTTGTCTGAATTGCAGCCGCTTTTCACACCGCGGTATTTTCTTGAAGTTCATCACAAAAATGTCGTGAATGTTTTAAACTTGAGCAACAGTTTAATCTGTTGTTGTGGAATCAGCATTCAATATCATGCTAAGTAGAACTCGAATTCATTTCGTGAAAGCTTGGCAGGATGGCTGGTCTAATGCTTGTCAGGATGGCTGGTCTAATGCTTGGCAAGATGGCTGGTCTAATGCTTGGCAGGATGGCTGGTCTAATGCTTGGCAAGATGGCTGGTCTAATGCTTGAGGGGCTGAGGCCCGCAAGCTGCTGACGGTGTGGTCGACAGCGTTCTCCACCAAGACGGCCACGTCCTACTTCACCAACACGTCCGTCACCGTCCGTATCTCGGCGGCCTGCTCCATTGGGGCCATTGGCTACCCGAGTTGCGGAGACCCAGTCCAAGTTGCGATTATAGGAAGATAAATTTGTGGAGCGGAAGATTGTGCATATAGGAGAATCGATTCTAGTTTCTCGGTTAGGCCAGGCTGTTGGCTTCGAATGTCTCACAAGTTTAACACGTTATATGACATGACTTCAAAGCCTCATTGTAGATAAATTTATTCCTCGGATTCAGTTACTTAGTGCTGTATTATGTTGCATATAAGGTTAATTACTGCGGTCAAGCATAATTGTTAATTTTTTTTGTTTATTGATAACTGTTAGCTCATAGCGGATAGATTCCCAAAACTACAATCAAAAGCTGCAAAAATTTTCAGCCGCTGGCTATCAACTTCGTGATGACGCCTCTCTTAACAGGTGTCATTTGTAAGTTATAAACCAGCTACATCTCATTCTCAAATTGAAAGAAAATACTCACAGCTGAGTGAATTTTGTATCGCATTCCCGTCACTTTATAATCATACTGGAATGACCGGTCTAGGCCGGTCCATACACCTAACATACGTGACTGATTGCGTCAGGATTACAAACGCTCATTCGAAATGTCATTAAATTTGACTGGGTGAAAGGGGTGCTTGTGTTGCTTTATATGTATCAACAAATTATACTTGCCGTTTTATAGTGTGTAGAATTGTAATTGTGCACAATAATAACAATAGCTTACTGTTATACTGTATTTTGGAAAGATTTTGTCCTCGATCTTACGTCGTAAAAAACAAGCTTTTATCAAAGTTTTTATTACCTTGTTCACAAAATTACCTAAAAATTCCATNACAAGGAATTTAAAAGCAAAGAAAACGCCAAGAAAATTCACCATATCGATATTGAAAACGTTTCGGAGTCCAGCTCCATCATCAGTTCGACTAAACTAAAAATGAATAAAATCACTTTAAAAGTCAAAATTCAAAGACAGACATTAAACCTAAACAAGATCTAACATTATATCGAAATAAACAGGACTAGTTATGAACAACTTAGTCCTAGCGGTACGACAAGAATATAAAATCCTAGCGATTTACTATTTCCAGATTATACTGTATGAGCTAAACGCATTATTGAGACATGGTTTTCGTTTGAAGATATGTAGAGACTCCAAAATTCTCAAATTTTCTTGGCCTTTTCTTTGCTTTTAAATTCCTTGTGAACTTGCGATATAAGCAGACTAATGATATAAGTACAATTTGGGGTGCCTTAAGAAAAATATGATGACGGAGCAGAAGCGGCGTAGAAATAGAACAGCCAACTGATAACTGGAGTCTCTTGTGCGTTGCCATCGATATTTTTCTCTCGCGTAGGATGACAATCTAAATCTATAATGTTGAAGGTTCTACGCTGAACTCCCTTAAGTAGTTGAGGTTAATTTACATGAATTTGTTGTAAAAGTTCATGGATTGGACATTAAAGGTCTTATGATTTAACATTTCATACTTAGTACCGAGTACCGGCGAATTAGCTAAATAAAATATGGTATTGTCACTACACTTATATGTTATGGAAGTTTTTTTGCATTGTGACCGTTTAAAATAGCTCTCAAAGACATTAGAGTCATAGTAATCTAACAAACTTTGGAAATGAGAGGATGATGTCTTTTAAAAGTTTTCAGTAAAATAATAACAAATTTTCTTGATGTTTATATCTATATTGTCGTGCGCCTTGTGTATAAAATTCCAGTTGGGAAACTCTATTTGGGTTTGAGTTATAGTTGGGATTTTATTTGGCAAGCTATAGTTTCCCAACATTTCTTACATTGGTGTGGGCAACTTTCCGCATTTATTCAAATCCACATTTGAAGATAGAAGCTAACTCCTACCTCTAGTCAGATTCAAAGACAGTCCAACTACCAGATTTCTTACGACCGCCAACGACGCCCGGACGCCACATCTTCACTATTTTCGACCGCTTCCCCGTCACTATGGGGTGATACCTCTAGCGTCTGAGGTGGCGGCCTCAAGGTGTGGGGACGACCTGGGGACTGCGGTATCAGCTTGTCTTCTTGTCTGTTCTTGTCTGTATCAGCTTGTCACAACTGTGCAAAGTTAAGCAAGACTGACTGCTCGGTCATTCGTAAAAACAAGTCAGTACACTGGTACTGTCAGGACTGCCAACAACCTGCACTTAGCGCTGTAAAAAGCGAATGGTCTAATGCTTGGCAAGATGACTATCAAATGTTTGGCAGGAGCTCTGGTCTAAAGTATACTAGGAGTTTAATGTGTGAAAATTGTATAGTTAAAGGCGTACAAAAATTAAAAATTTAGCCGCATTGATCAAAAGTTTATAACATAAAACGAATGATGGAGCACGGCAGCGAACCCAGTCTCTGTCTCTCCATTACAAAATTTATTACGTGGCTCTGATCATTTAACAGTGTATTTATTGCAGTGTATTGTATTGTATTTGTCTTTACCACATATGATTGACCTGCATAATGGTGGATTTAAAAAGTTTTGACTTGCAATCAGTTGTCACAAAAACGATTGAAATGGGGCGTGTAATTAAAGACTGAGCGCTTCGATCATGACACTGACGCCGTCAACTGTCATCCGTCACTGTCAACTTTCATCTGACGCTGTCAACTGTCATCTAACTCTGTCAACTGCCATCTGCATGACACTGTCAACTGTCATCTGACACTGTCAACTATCATCTGTAACTGTGATCTGTCACTTTCAATTATCATCTGACACTGTCAACTGTCATCTGCTACTGTCATCTGACACGGTTATCTGTCATCTGATACTGTCAACGTCCATCTGACGCTGTCATCTGTCACTGTCAACTGTCATCTGATACTGTCAACGGCCATCTGACGCTGGCAACTGTCGATAGTGCCAGCTGTCCCTTTCACATTATTAGCATTTATGATTTGTGCAACATACTTACGTTTGTTTTAAATTCATTCTAGCTATAATTTCTGTACTAATTGATCAGCTGATGGACACGAATTAAAATCAAAATTTACCAAGCGTGGCAAATCCTACATCAAAATTAGCTGGTATTTGAAATGATATCAAAATATTACTAACGATATTTTTTTAATTCAGAAAAAATCAAGCCCATCAAGAACGACAACATCAGCAGAGCAACAACAAAAGCAATGCGTTGGTGGGCGCTGGTTCTTTTGTTCGCTATTGTGGTAGCTCAAGAACGAAAACAAGATGGAGGCAATGACGTCACCAAAGTTCCAGTAGCACCACTGCAGAAACAAGATGGAGGCAATGACGTCACCAAAATTCCAGCGGCATCACTGCAGCACCAAGATGGCGGCGATTACGTCACTAAAGTTCCAGCGGCACCACTGCAGAAACAAGATGGCGGCGGTGACGTCACCAAAATTTCAGCGGCATCACTGCAGAAACAAGATGGCGTCAATAACGTCACCAAAGCTCCAGCGGCACCACTGCAGAAACAAGATGGCGGCAATGACGTCACAAGGTCTAGAGAGCCCCAGAAAAGAGAAGATATTGGTTCGTCTGATGCTGAAGTGATGACATCACGAGGAAGTACGAATGGCATTAGTGTGAAGAAATACGAACAGGATGTGAATAAACCGAAGACCAACGATGACGACAGCCAAGGTTAATACAACTGCAACTACTACAAATAAACTAGTAATCATACTCACAATAATATTGAACAATTGATTTGCCAATGAAGTATTTACATATATCTGATGCATATTCAAGCATTCGTTAAAACTTATAATCAAACAAAATTTTTGATAGTCGTAAACGCAACTTATTTTCCATTGTAATAAACTATGAAGCATTTCGATGAAATCGCTGACGCCGCATATCAACGTTTATTTGAAAAAAATAATAATTAAAATTTCAAAGCATGACTATTTCCACAGCCAAGTTCTTCTTCTTCGCTTCGAGCAGCACGACAACAAAGTTTAAACTTTCTTTTATAACTTCTACAACTCCTTACACCTGCGTGTCAAGTAAGTAGTGTCCGCAACTCCCTACATTTGCTTGCCAAGTGAGCTGTACTTAGAACTTCCTACATTTACTTGCCAAGTGATCTGTACTTAGAACTCCCTACATTTGCTTGCCAAGTGAGTTGTACTTAGAACTCCCTACATTCTTCTTCTTCGCTTCGAGCAGCACGACAACAAAGTTTAAACTTTCTTTTATAACTTCTACAACTCCTTACACCTGCGTGTCAAGTAAGTAGTGTCCGCAACTCCCTACATTTGCTTGCCAAGTGAGCTGTACTTAGAACTTCCTACATTTGCTTGCCAAGTGAGCTGTACTTAGAAGTCCCTACACTGAGAGAAATGGGCGGGTCTGGATGACCCACTTTGATGAGTCAACCGCGTCCGAAAACCGATGCACTTTTTTGACTCACTTGCCCCATTTGTGGGTTGACCCATTAAATTTCAAGCATCACTCACTTGTGGCGTTAAATCGCTCTGACGCTCAGATGCTAACTACGTGTCCATGCTACGGGTGGCGTCATAAGGGATTTGACGTCACAAGTGAGTCATGCCTGGAATTTAATGGGTCAGTATGACCCACAAATGGGGCAAGTGAGTCAAAAAAGTGCATCGATTTTCGGACGCGGTTGACTCATCAAAGTGGGTCATCCAGACCCGCCCATTTCTCTCAGTGTACATTTGCTTGCCAAGTGAACTGTACCTAGAACTCCCTATATACACCTGCTTGCTAAGTGAGTATAGCGTCTACAGTTCCCTACATCTGCCATCCAATGAGTAGTGTCTACGACTTGTGTACACCTGCATGCTTGTCAAGTGAGTTGAGTTTATTGCTCCATACACCTGCTTGTCATGTGAATTTTGTTTCCAACTTCCTGCAACTGCTTGTCTTTCAACCGCTGATCGAGAATTCCTATCATTATAGTATTAAATTACAAGCGTTTCATTAACCGTTGCAGAATACACGAACAAATGCCCGATCTTTACATAAAACACGTTTCTCTAATTATTTAAAACCTAATTACGACAATTAAGCATATTAATTGAGAACATGTGGATATGATTCAAGCATGGAAAGAAAAATAGCACCTAAAAAGCTATGTTTTGGAAGGGCAAACTCGTGAAACTATTTTTGCACTTGCAATTTCCTCAAATATCTAGGAAAGAAAACATCAAAATAATTCAAATTTTAACACGTTGAATGCAGCACCACCCACCGCCTTAAAAGATATCCTAAAAAAGGTAAAGTACGTGGTGAAAAAGGCTTCTATATAATTCAAAATCTACTAATAAGTTTGTAGGTTCCAGTGCAAAAATTTCATTTTCTTCTTTTCCGTATACTTCTTAATATTTAATGAAATAGTACTGCCATCATAAATTATTGTCGATAATCGCAATTGAAAAACATAAATTGCGGAATTTGTCCGAAAAAAATACCCTGCAGTTCCCCTCCGGTGGATTGTGAAGCGCTTAATTAACGTGCTAGCCGAATTTTTTTAAGTGCATGCCGTTACAATCAAAGCCATTCAAGACTTATATTTTATTTGAAATTCACTTGCACATGGCTTCTATTATATATATTCATTACATACCGATATCGGTGTAATATAGTGGTATCATCGCTAAAACTAGGGTATCATAGTGCTGTCATCGTTTGGCCAGTCGCCGATTTTATAGACGTAATAACGAATTTTCACAGCGAGCTGAGGTCTCAACCGCAACTCGCTCATCCAATCTTGCTGCACTTAATTAACCACTCAACAATCCTTTGTGTGAGAATTATTGGAATTTCCTCATGTCGTTCATAATATTAGGTAGATTATGAATATTACTTCTTATCGAATTTTAATTCTCCCTGACTTTTTGCGCTTGTCCTTCATGCGTTTTCCTTCTCATCGACAGCTGCTGCAGCAGCCACCTGCATAGGCCGACGTCGACGCGCTATGGCCCTTCATGGCATGAAATTCGACGTCGGGACGAATTCGAAAGACGTGCACAGTTCCCTCGACGAGGCCGACATTGAAGAAGTCGACGACCAGTCACGACAAGAAAGTCCTCGCAAGTTCCTGACGGTGTGGACGACGAGCTTTTCGACGAAGACGGTGACGTCGTACGTCACAGACAGAGGCGTGACTGTTTCTGTCTCGGCGTATTGCACTTTTGCGGGTGGGAGCGGAATTCCCGGCTGTGCTGGGTAACTGGGTTGCAGGGCTGCACGAGTATCTAGATGGCGCCGAGGTAACTGGGTTGCAGGGCTGCACTAGCATCTAGATGGCGCTGAGGTAACTGGGTTGCAGGGCTGCACTAGCATCTAGATGGTGCTGAGGTAACTGGGTTGCAAGGAAGAAAGAGCCTGTTATTGGGGTTCGGGTGGGGTTGTACACGAGATTTTTAAAATCTTATGGATGAAACTTGTTGTATTGCAGACGTTTAGGTTTAGCTGCTGAAGTGAGGTCTATTTTCGACAAGGTTGCTTAATAGTGGCCTTAAAATGATCTCGTCTTCCGACGGTGTTAAGTTTGCAGGGCTGCACTAGTATCTAGATGGTGTCCTTAATTGTAACCCTTTGAAGCAATTTGTTTGGTTCGTGTCCATACAAATCAGGCTGAAATGAAATGGGAAATCGGAATCTAATAGAAGGAAGATATAGAATCTCCAACAGCCTCAGGTTAAAGTGCATATTGCATAGTCGGGGAAAAATTGATTCGAACATTAAATAGAAACCAAACGTTGCAAAATTACATAATATTTTGTTCTTTTTTTGGAATTGGTCGTTTGTTGCACTGTCCCTGTCTTGACTAATTTTACTAAATGGCGTTAATTCTTATTAAAACAAAACAAGATTTGATTACATAGATGAGAGACTTTAGAACCAATTCAAAGCATTTAAATATAATAAACAAGATTTAAAAAGTGACGTTGAAAAATGCATAAGCCTTTAATTGAATTTCTTACCAAAATAATTTGATAAACTAAGAAATCAAGGCTAGCACTAAAATGTAAGTAATCCAGCACCCAGAAAGATTGGTTCTAGAGGTCTACCAGACTAAAAATATTATTGCTATAATAGCTAAAACTTTTTAAAGTCGTGCATCCCAACATGGATCAGAATATAACGAAGCTTAGCATAAAATTTCACGGAGAGCATATGCTATGCTGATGTGGCTGACTATATTTTTAAGGCTTATCTCAAGCCAGATGCAAAAACAATAAAATCAACAGAGGAGATGATCAGAAAGAACAGAGAAAATGATTATTTAAATTCTATCGAACGGCCCTATATATGATGCGGTTGCAAGGGTTCATCATGAAGTTAATACATCTTGAGCTACAAGGCCTTCGTCGTCAGGCAAAGCTCCAACTCTACATCGAACATTTGTGAAACATATAATAACTTTAATTTAGAAATGGTGGGCATGGAAACCATTATAATAATTTTGACCGGATGCCACGAGACATACAATATAAATAAGTTCATTATAATGTAATCAAGTACTCGATTGATATGAAAACAAATATCGATACTCTGGTTGTGTTGCCGCCCTTCACTCTCCTGACCTAAAAATTTATTTCAACAAGCACAAAAGTTTGCCTGCTTAGTTAGGCTCTGATGATGGAGTGTTTTGGAACACGAAATCACAAATGTAGTAAATATAATGTCTGTTAAGGTGATCGTTTGGGTCAGACGAATCCTCATGAGAAAACGCAAGACAGACGAATCCTCATGAGAAAACGCAAGCGATTAAATAAACAAATAGCTGAATCCACTAGTGATACGAGAAGACAGAGGCTAGTAAATTTGCACAAGAATATTGAACTCAGGCTGCAGGTCTCGCACAGGATGGAAGCTGTCTCTTATACACATCTAGTGGTTGAGGTCATCAAAGAGAACCCCAAGTATTTTTTTAAATATGCTCAGTCCAAGGCTAAAATAAAGACGCCAGTAGGCCCGCTTAAGGATAACGAAGTCATTGTCGGAGATGACCAGGGCATGTGTGAGTTACTGGGATCTCAGTTTGAATCAGTGTTCAGTAACCCCCGCTACTCAAGGGAGGAGAATGAAATTGAAGTTCTCCAGGAGCTGTC